ACTTGGCGAGCGGAAGAGATAGAAGAAACCAATAAAAGATAAATGCAGGCACAACCCAAAGGGAAAATCGTGAGGCCGGGACCACACACACAAGCAGACACCACTCCATTTTCCATTTCCACTGCCTCCTGCCAAACAAATGCAGCGCCAGCAATTTTCCACTTTAAGCAATTTGTGTGTGTTTGTGGGAGCAAGAGGCATCGGAAATACAACAGCCGAATATATATATATGTATCGGAAAATATCACTAACATGGCCCTGCCCCACACGAATTTCCAGCAAGGGGAGTTGCGATTCGTGGGAGCAGATAGCACTGCCAAATACTTATCGCCACTCGGCGGATGCGGATGCTCCGCTGCTGGCCAGTGGAAGTTTCTATATGCCCTACGCGGTCGTAATTAAAGTGGCCAAATCGAATTCCGCTCATGTGGGGCGGGAAACCGATTCGAGCCAATTGAGCTGGCCAACTTTAAGCCAGATTCTCGTCGAACTGGGAGCGGATTAAAACTTAAACTGCGCTTACTTTTTCAGTTAAGCGTAATTGTCTAGGGCTTAAGTTAAATGGATGGAGGAAAATCTATCGAACCGGTCAGTAAAATACCTATCGTCCGTTCAGAAAAATACCTATTCTAAAAATAATATTTTTAAAATTTCTTTATTATTTTTTTAGTTATAGTACCCTTAATTTGGAAGGGTAGTTGAAGGAAACAGTTCGTTTGGAATAAAATTGACGTCTTGTTTACTTAAACGGCGGAGGGAGGAAGTCAAAAGTCCTCTCCCACATTTCCGCTTATCTTTCTGCCCAAAAATTCCTGCCCTTCGGCCATAACGGAATGTAGTTAGTAGCCAAATGGCTCGGTGATATTTTCCGGCGCCCACTTAAACAGGAAACCACCGAAATTAGCCCGAAAAATGCCAGGGCTTGATGGCCGCCTGCCAAAATTCGGCCCTTGCAATTAAATATTTCACACATTTTTCAATGTTAATAATTCAATATGTTTCACACGCCCTCAAAGTCTCAATAATGAATGCAAAAAGTTGGCTGCAAATAGTCCGAATAAAAGTGGGTGAATTCCCCGTTGGCTGATAGTTTTTTTCCCCTTTTGAAAAATGTTCGGCAAATTTTAGCAATTCCAACTTGTCCGAAACTGAACGGAAAATCGCTTGTCAATTGATGGACAAAAACGCTCCACCAACAGTGGGCTGGCATATTATTAAAAAGTGAGTGTAATTGTCTAAAAAAATCCTGTGAGTTGAATTTCATTTCTTTTAATGGTTTTCCTGGCGCGACTGCTTGGGCAATAATCTCGCAATGAACCCATAAAAGGAGGCATAAACGAGAAAGGCACCCATTTTACATGTGACACAAGACACGGTGGCCGCGAGAACTTTGCAAAGCTGCCATCACAAAAATTGGAATCGGTTGGGGGCAAAAGCAGGCATAGAATGCGTTTACTGGATGTCAGGGCGCCTTCTGATTTTTCCAGAGTGACGCGCCCCGAAAAATTTCCCCTGCCCCCGATCCGCCGGAAAAAAGCCAATATCGTCGGCGCTGGTGATTCTGATGGTGATGCTGATGGTGACAACCACTGACATGCCCCACACATTGCCGCAGGGCTCGGGGCTGAGGCCCAGTGGGTGGTGGCTCAGATTGGGCGGTGGGGGATGAGGGGCAGGACCAGGGCAAGGTGAAAGCCAAATGCAAATTCCGGCAGTGTGCCACCGCCTTTTGGTATTGGTTTTGTTTCGCTTACACGCTCAGTGTATCGATTTAACTGCCCGCGCGGCTTCCCGTGGAGCGACCTCCTCCGGCGGATCCTCCGGTTGTCCTCGCTGTCCTGGCTGTGGTTTGTTTTGGGTTTCATTTTCCAGCTTTCCAGCGTTATTTGGTTTTTTGTCTTGTGTTTTTGTATTTTTATGTTCGGCCCGCAGCCCGTTGTAGTTGTCAGCATCAGCAGAACATCCACGTACTCGCTGTATACTCGACATTGTCGTCGTTGTCATTGTTATTTCTGTTGTGCAGGAAATTGTTGTATGCAAACATTAAATTTTCAATAGGTCAATTTCGGTTCAACGCCTATGGCAAAAGCATATATTTTCGCAAAACAAATTCAATGCCTGATTTTTCATATTTTTTATCCGCCGGCCACTTTACAGTTTGTCGCTCAGTTATTTTTCCCGCAGCTTTCGTCCTTAAACTGAGGTTATCAAACAGATTTTCGCACTTTGGCCATTCGAATAAATTGATTTGGACAAAACCAACAAGGAAATCAAATCAAAAAATGCTGGCGCAAATATCGAAATAATTGCCAGTGACTTTGATGGACATTTATGTACCTGTTTGTACGTGCTGGTGAGACAGTATTTCTCTGACGTTGATTTGCGGTTGGCTTTTCCCTTGGGACTTTTCGCAATATAATTTTTGGCTTATGCTAGGGGGCTAAATGTTTGGAAAAAGTTATTACTTCAGCATGACTCTGTCAATGGGTCATCAAGGAAAATGTTTTGGCTTTTGCGAAAGAGTTGATAGAAAATAAAATGTTTTCGCCAGACCAAAATTGAATAATTTGGCCAAAGTTATTTTGTAAATACATTTATTTGGAAAATATTTCAGCAGCTCAGAAATATGATTTTAACTTTGGTTCAATAAAGAACATTTTAAAGGAAATAAAATTCATCGGAAAATTGAAAACAGGTTTTATTTACAAATGCCATGACAATTATTGAAGAAATTTACTGATACGATTAACATTAATCGTCGTATAACATTGAAAAACAATAAAAGGCCCATAAAATGTATATTTAATTGCTTTGGAGGAAAGGGTCATTAAAAATGATGCATATGTTTGAACAATTTAAATCACTACAACACAAAACTTTAGAAATGCATAAAAAATATGCAAATTTTCTTAGCAGCTCCCCTAATCGGATTCCGAACAATAAGCCATTTGCAGCAATTGAAACTTTCGTCAAAACCCTTCCAAGATTTCGGCCAGCAGGATAATTCCCCCGGACAAACAAGAAGTAAATTATAATCTGCGTAAAACAATTTAAGCAGTCTGACAAAAATGTCATCTCCAGACAGCCGGCTGCAGCTAGAATGCAACTTCTGGTGCAAATTGGATCGTTGTCCAAATTCGATTGTTTCATATGCAGCACTTCTCCCCGCTGCCCACCGCTCTCTTTTTTCCGGGGAGTACATTCGGTGTCCGAGGAAAGTTTTGCGCACAGTTCTAATTAGCGCACTAAAGATATTCAACACTCAACGTAATTAAATGGAATTTCAAGCGATGCATCGCAGCCGGTTGTCGGTTGCCGGTTGCCAGTTGCAAGTTGCCGGCTGCAAGTTGGGCCAAAGCGCCTTTAATTACTGGCAGCAGACTCCTCCTCCTGGTTTTCCAGCTCCTTCTGCTCCTGCAGATAGTGGCAGCCAAGAGTCCGGTGGAAGGAGCAACTTTTTCGGTGGGTGGCAGCAGCAGCAGCAGCAGTAGCAAAACTTGGCCGCACAAATTAATCATAACTTTGGAGGCGCTGCCACTGCTGCAGGAGCATTGCCTTCATCTTGGACAAAATGTTGCCATGCGCCGCCCCGCCCATTAAATGTGGGTTAGGCCCACTCCCACTGCAGATATGCTGTCTCAAGTCTGAAGTCTCAAGTCTGGAGTCCTCCAGTTAACTTTCCCCACATTCCGCATTGCATTTGCATGCTGCAATTTTCTCTGCGTCGGCGTTGCCGGCTGTCCAATAAATTTCAGCTGTGCTGTGGCATTTATCAAAATAGCAAAAACTTTGCGAGCGGCTGCAGCTGCGCAGTGGCACGAGACAAGACAAGTTCCCTGCCTTTGCCTTTGGCAGCTCAAGTTTTCCTGTTTGTTTTCCCCAAATTGCCTGCCGGAAACTTTTCAGTCGGGGCTGAAAGCGTGCCCTCAACTCGGTCATCCTTATCCCATTTTGGTTAACTTTAAAATACACTTACAGAAATCGTATGTAGTCGGGGAAGATAAAAAGAAAACAATCTCCAGAATATATATTGAGAAATGTAAATAGAAATGACAGAGAAATTGTTTATTGATTTAAAATTTATTTATTTAAATAAATTGTGAGAGTCAGTATATTTTTGCCTAACTTTAGCTAAGACATTCCAGCTAAGTCATTTACCCCAAATGCAACCTTGCTATTAGCGAGGATCCGATCCTCACACTAATCACCCGAAAATACCATACTTAAGGATTTTGGGATTTCACGCATACGACGTTCACACTAGAAGCCATGATTTCCGCCTCTTTTATATCAACGTCTCTCGTGACCAGTTCGTTCGCTCCGTAAAAATTACCTAATTCGATCGCATCCAATCATCCGCGAGTGAATTCCCTGCTAATCTGTGCATATTTTCTCCTATTACTGTTCCTATTCTTGTTGGTGAGTTAATTTCTCCGAAATGTTGTCGTTTTCTGACCGGAATTCCCCAGAACGCAGAAACCAGCGACCACGTGCGATTTCCAAGAAGTGCAAAAGTTTGCGAGCCCTCCCTCTGCGCACAGCAAGGAGCTGGAGCCGTTACAGCGGTAACATTTTTTTTGCATCCGTGCCACGCGAGCGCGACACCCAGGATTTGCATCATCTCTACGCCTGGATTTAACATTTCATCAGAGCCCACGCCTGGGTCGTATTTCATCATCGCCACGCCTGAATCTACAGTGGCGGACAAAAGTCTACGGACGACCCCCTTTTTGGGAGTTCTTCCACTCCTATTGCTTTCTGGAATAAGATGCAGTTTGTTCTTAATGTTATTAATATACAAAAACCAAAATTTTATTCTTATTCATAAAAAACTTTTCAGACGAAAATTAGAAGTGGCATTGACAAAAGTTAAATTTTAAAAAAAAAAAAAAACTTTTCATAACATTTCCATGCCCATGCCTTATGGTGGTGAAAACAATTGCCGAAAAGCATAAAACAGCAGCTATTTCTTGCGTATGCTTAGGATCATTATCCTCGAGATGGTTCCTAGGATTTTGTCCATAGATGCCTTCAAATTATGTTCAAATATGGTCTTATACTCAGAACGAACCATAATACCCTCGACGATGACCAAATTTCCTCATCCCGAGGCTTCAACTGATCCCCACACCAAGGCTTCCCTACCATACTCCCACCACAGTACTAATTTGGACCGTAAAGCACTTCGGTGGGAGTGACATGGCGTGGGGAACAGTTGAAGCCTCGGGATGAGGAAACTTGGTCATCGTCGAGGGTATTATGGTTCGTTCTGAGTATAAGACCATATTTGAACATAATTTGAAGGCATCTATGGACAAATAATGCCTCCGGAACCATCTCGATCTACCAACAGGATAATGATCCTAAGCATACGGCGCATATCCTTAAGAAATAGCTGCTGTTTTATGCTTTTCGGCAATTGTTTTCACCACCATAAGGCCTGGGCATGCAAATTATAGAGCAGGTTTGGGGTAATTTTGGAGCGAAAATTTTGAAAGTTCTATGTAAAAATCGTCCGTAGACTTTTGTCAATGCCATTTTTAAGATTTTCGTCTGTAACTTTTAAAGTTTTTTATGAATAAGAATAAAATTTTGGTTTTTGTATATTAATAACATTAAGAACAAAACTGCATCATTACTTTTCCCGTAAAAGCAATAGGAGTGGGTGAACTCCCAAAAAGGGGGTCGTCCGTAGACTTTTGTCCGCCACTGTACATAAAGGATTTCTGTAAAGGCGCACACCGCGTGAAGTGGATCTTTTCTCCTTTCCACGCCTGGACTACCGTACTGTTCGTAATACCGGACCTAGTTTGTCAGCGTCCAACCGCAAGCGGCATCAAGGAACGCCGTTTCTACCTAACTGCACCAAAATCGACAGGTCCGAACCAGTCGGACGAAATTCGGACGAATCCCACCGGCGCCGATTCGTCAAATCCGCGCAAGCACGCGCAAACACGAAGTCTCATCCCAATTGGAATTTCAGTTCCAATTCTGGTTCCAGTTCACGTTGGCCGGGGCTGCCAACTTGTTCTTTGTATCGCATTAAGTAAAAGTAGTTTAGTTTGCTTCTTTGCCAACACATTTAAGATACGATTCTAATTTACTTTACGATTCCTATTTAGCCAACATTATTTCGTGTGTGCTTATGATATAGATTGACATATATAACCATTACATAAACACTTCAAAGTTCGTCATCAGGCCTGCTGACTTCGTTGGAGAGTTCGTAAGTACGGCATAGCCGTCAAAACATTTAACTATATATTCATTCTTGTCTAAGCCCACACATTTGATATATATATTTACTTAACTACTATCATACAACATATACCGTATATTGGACATCAAATAAGAATCGTTTGCATTAGAATAATTTAACTTGATCTGCCTAAGTGCCTTTTGTTTGAATAAGAATATCGTATATCGATAACACAATGTAATCAACCACAATTTAACGTAAGGTAAATACTTCATTTCCTTTTCCTTTTTGACAATCGTAAATACAATCACGACCGTATAGAGAGTCGCTTAACGTAAATAACGTTTAGTCTTAAGGACTTAGTGTTAGCATTATTAGTATTAAGAGTGAATCGTATTATCGCATTTGGAGTATTAAAGATGAAATTTAATATGAATTAAATTGTTATCTTTTGAGGGCCCCTAAGAGAATGTAGCGCAGCGGTTGCTTAAGGGTAGAGTCTGATGAGACTTTACAGGTAGGGTGGGTATAGAAGGAGGCCATTACCATCTGGGCCTCCATCTTCGATAGGTACACTCTCTAGTCCGAATCTTAGCCGTTGGGTTTAAGTTCTTATCGTTATCGTTTCTCTGTCTACTACGGTTAGTTCTGTGACACTCTTGTTCTATCTTAACACAAACCCACACCCAGCTCCCTGAGTAGGCCAGTCGAAACGTAGGCAGAGTTGTTAGGGTGGACAACGCTCATCGAGTGTGTTCGTTACAAAATGAAATATTGTTTTTAGGTTCATAAATAGTTATTATTATCCCTTTAAATATTAAAAGCCGATTTTCGGTGTCACGATTACCTCACGCGACCATCCCTCGTGGCATGGACTCGAAGTTTAAGTCTGCTGCTGAATGTTGATAGGCAATAAGAGCCGAGAAAACAACTACTGTTGCATCAAAGCAACTGCGAAGAGGCGGCAACTTTTTTGACAGGCGGCTTAAAATTTCACAGGCAAGTTGGGAGTTCGATTGCTAGTGCAGCATTTACGCCTGCTAACTTAAGCGCAGTACTTGATTACCCAATTGAACAATGAAGAATTTAATCACCAGAAGCATTTACCTTTGGAGAAGTTGGAGCATTTGAACCTATGTTTATGATACATTTTTAATAAATGGGACTACTACTTAAACCATTTACTTATTTATTTAGTAAGATAAGCAACTTTTTTTTAAAGACTCTTTTAAGCCTTAAACCACCGTACCAGCAATATTTGGTTTTTACATTAATTTTTTAAATATTAACGAAATTTTCAGGTAGTTTTAAAAGGAAGATAAATTTACATTTTACCTTAAATAATTGATCTAGTATTAAATGTTTGGCCTTATTGCGGTATGAACTCTCCTGAGTACCGGTAATGGGTTTTTTTCGGTGCAACCAGCTGCATCAATTTGATGGCTGGAACATCCTCCGCCTTTTCCCACTTTCCATAATTGGGATTAAAAAAGGAGACGTAGTACAAGTCGCTTTTTGAGTCGAGCACTTATGGCGCCGCAAAGCTACGCGGGTCTTCGATCGCATCGGGCAGTCGTTGCAATTAAACGCAAAGTAATCCTCCTTCATGCACTTCGCTTCATGGGAGACGAGTGCAGTGTGGGTAACAAAACAGTGCCGGCATTGCATAGTTTTGTAGAGGACCCTAAAAGGGACCACGGCAATCGGGCTTTGTGCATCTGATACTGCCGGCGGTTCCAACTCCTCAGGGAAAACTAAGGATCCTGCCGGCGGTTCCAAATCCTCAGGGAAATCTAAGGGGATTTGATCTTCCAATTGCAGCTCCTGGACCACCGTAAAGGGCGTCGTATCGAACTCGGGTGGGAGTGAGCATGGTCCTGCCCATGGCAGCAGCTCCTCATACGCACTGGGTGCGCCCTGGCTCAACTTCCACCTATCGTCGAACGCCCACTGCCCCGTCTCCTTCGCGGTTCCTTTCTTTTTCTTGGGCGTTGAAGGCGCTACTGGAACTAGTCGAAAAAATCCTTTTTAGTGCCCGTTCCGGCGTTGACAACGAAAAACTCACCTGGCGGAGGCTGAACAAGCTTCCGGAGCTCCAACAAGTCGCCATCGAAGCCGGTGCATTCCAGTATGGAGCCGTCTTTAATGTCAATTGTAACGATTCGCTACGTTGATACCCATAAATCTAGGCGAGTTGTTGTCCCGAGCCATCGGCGCACGCGAAAAAATCTATCCGGCTCTGGCTCTCGGCTATGGGTGTGATGGTCTTGCCGATGACTCGTGATGCCTTTTACTAATAATAAGGAGATACTCGCGTGCATCACCGAACTGGAAACCGGGTTAAGAAAGACACACACATTAAAATACTACCGTAAGTTCCCTACTAATTCCACATTCGCCTGATTTCACCTTTTCACCTCCTTGGATGTCGTGGAGGTCATGGGTCGCTCGTCCCTTTCTTCCCTAGACAGCCTGAGCGACCCCTTTATAAAGTGCTACCCTACATCGCAAACAACGCTAGCCGCGGCCACTTTTTCTCCTTAGCAAATCATTATAAAATTTATTTACCGACTAAGAACATAAACCATTACTTAAGCTAAACTAAATAACTTAAAATATGATAAATAATTGTAAGAGCATATTAAGATTTAAACCAACTTTTTGTAGCTATAAAAATGGTTAGTTGAAGCATGGGGATTCTTATCGTTCGACTAGGAAAATTTGTATTTAATATTTAATTAATTTATTTTTTTTTCATCTCAACTTAACTTTTCACTTTACTTTTTTTCTGAGTGTGGCAGTTTTATTTTCTTTAGTTCCTCATGTTCGTTCTTTCTTTCGAGGTTAAATTATGGACTTTTGTTTCATTTCGAATATCGCCTATTAAAAGGGGTTTTAAATAAATGTTTTTAGACACTCACCACACTTTTTCCATCCTCCGACGAAAGCGCTTTGGTCGTAACGATGAAGGCTAAATAGGGATGAATAAAAGAACACCAACACAGAAAAAAAAATAGGATTTTACAGGCCAGGAGAATATGAGACTTTTGTGGGCATTCTTTGAATCGCAGCACTTAAATTGAGGTTCAAATCGAAGTAAATCCCCAAACTTAAAACTAATCTCTCCGCCTTTCCGTGGCGGCTGTTCCCGGACGACTCCCAGAGCGGGATTTGGCCGGAACGACGAGTATTTACGGACCAAATGAATATCTTTTTAAACTCCCGAAAATAACTTTTAACCGCAGATCGTGGCGGCGACGTTGTGTAGGACTTTAGCGTACGGCGAAACTGGCGACTGTGTTCGATCGAACCTGGGTTCTTCTTTCGCCTCAAATGATCGCTCGATGGTAGTTCGTCGCCTAAACTCTGCTCTAGATTCACTGGATGCAATTCTCTTTGGGCCGGGGCATGGGTTATAATGGGCAAAACTTATCTCTGATGAAAAATAAGGCAATCATTTACGCCTTTCCTTGGGCGCTGCTGCTGCTCTTTGATGAAACGCTGGCCTGGGCGAACGAAATACAACTTACTCGGGAGCAACACCGCCTGGGGCAGAACATGGAATCCATTTGTTTCGTTCTCCGCCTGGTGGCGATCGGAAGTTTAATTTGTCATTTTTAATTTGTAATATGGAATTTTTAATTTAAAGTAAAACGCAAAAAACGCTGCGAATATTTCAAAAATAACGGCCGCTTTAGACAAAAAATAACTGCTTGGATTTCAAAAATAACGGCCGCTGCGGTTGAAAGCAGTGCTCTTTTCGGCGCTCCCAATAAGCAGTGCGAGAAATCCGACACTTTTCCAATAAGCAGTGAACTGCTTTGTTCTTTTCAATAAGCAGTGAACTGCTTTTTTCGCGCCATTTCCGGTTGCACTGCTTGGGCCAAAGCAGTCAGCTTTTGTCCGCTTTAAAAGCCAGTCATTTTTTTGAATAACGAAAAGCTGCCAAAAAAGCTTTTTAAAAATTCAAATACATTTAGTAAGGATTTTCAGTGATTTTTAAACACAAATGTTTTAAGTCATTTAATGCATTTATTTTTTAAGTTTTTGTTTGTCAACTTGGAAGCCAGTCGCATTTGCCGGCGACTACAAGTACAGAAGTTTTAAATAAATAATATAAATAGCTAACATCTAGGTGGAAGTCATAAATTAATTTAAATTAGTTTAGAGAGAGTCCAGTTGTGGGCACTGGAAAGTCTAGACCTCGTTGCACTCCAGATAGATCTGGCGACAGTCGAATCCGGAGCGTCCCCTGCGTCCGGCGTCATACAGTTCCTCGAAGTTGCTGCCACTGCTGCGGCCCAAAACATAGCTGGTGGCATATCTAGATTGGGGAATTTAAAAAATTATTAGTGATATGGTTACCATATTTTCTTTTTTTTTTTAGTTTCCAACCAATATTTTAATCAAAGTTTTTATAAAATTTATTACAAACCCAAATAGTGTGGTAACAACATTTGATAAAATAAAACAAAAATGCAGTATTTTCAAGAAATAAGCGTAAATTTAAATGTTATAAATTTGCATGAAAAATCTCTTTTTGAAAACCTCTATATAGTTTTACAAAGGCAAAAGTTTCAGTTTAATTTATTAAATATTTAATTTCAGCTTTAAAATGTTTGAAAATAATGACTGTAAATAATTCTAAATATAAATTACTGACTTACTCTTTTAAAAATTAATAAACTTGGTTTCAAAAGTGACCCCCAATACTTACGATCCCAGCTGGCAGAAGATGCTGCTGCCGCCGATCTCGCGAACGCACTCCGTGTTGGCGTCGCACATGTACTTCTGCGTGCACTTGTCCTCCGAGCTGCGGTAAGTGCGGACGTAGCCCTTCATCAGCGAGATGCCGGCGACGACGGCGTCGCTCACCGAGTCCCGCTTGCCCAGCGAGCGGGCGGCCAGGGAACGGTGCGAGAAGGAGGTCTTCAGGGCGTCCAGCAGGTTCATCACGATCTGAATGAACTGTGGATGCGGAAGGGGGAGCGATTTGTTCAGTGGAGTGGAGTGTGTGCGGTGTGTGCGAGTGTTGATTGGGGGCAGAAAGGGTGGGGTAGAGGGAAGGGTAGAGGAAGCATTAGTCAATTAGTTATGCATTTGCTGTGCC